GAGAAAACGTTTGGGACGATGATGTTCTCCGTTTCATATGTTTCCGTCATGTCTTATTTAATTAGGAGGTGTTTATTTTTTTATAAGGTGTCATTCTATTATTGGATGGGGATACCAGCTGACGTGGTATCCCGGTTGTATAATTAGACTTTCTCCACAGCGGTGACAATCATCTTATTTTTTTATATAATCTCCCTTGACCGATCATCTCTTCCGAACGTCAATAATCACTTCAAGCATCAACCATGGATGAAGAGTATGATGTCATAGTGTTGGGAACCGGTCTCAAGGAATGCATCCTCAGTGGTCTCCTTTCCGTCGACGGCCTAAAGGTCTCATCCCTTTTCTCCAAATTCTGATTATTGTTTCGATCAAGTTTTGTTTTTATGGTGTGGAAAAATTAATGGGTTTCTTTTCGATCCAAATGGGTATCTCAGATTTGTTTCTAATCCTGTGGATCTGGATCATCCAGATTAGAGATACGATTTTTAGATTTTTTTTTTCTTTCTATTTTTGGGTTAGCGTTCTATGATGATGTGGAGTTACTGAACTAATGCAAGATTGTGATACAGCTTATGTATCCATTTGGAAAATGAAGCTGCTTTTTTCGCATTTCTGTTCAAAAGAAGCAGGGGGTGGGGGTAGGGGGTAGAGGAGCTTTTTAAATGCATGTGATATGCGCTGGGCAAATAATTGTAAGGAAATGTTTAACCTTGTTACTAAATCATGGTTGCAGAATGGACAGTACTGAATTCTCATTTAGGAAACATGTGAGTTGCACACGTAAATTAAATTAGAACAGACAGGGAACTGAATTCTAAATGAGTTTTATTGTTCTTGTCAGTGGAGTTTCTTAATGGAAGTGTAATCTTCCCATGATTACATCTTATGTCTGCTGGCTTTTTACAGATAATATGTCCTTGGAATATTACCTTCCATGCTGGAAGGGGGTTTGAAGGCAAGCTTAGTGTTTATTTTTCTGTTTTCTGCTGTGGAAGTAAATTTGAAAATCATATATATATTTTTTAACTTGGGTAAGTGGTGGGATTTATGATATATTTCTTCATTAATATTATGTTTCTTATGACCCAGGTCCTGCACATGGATAGGAATGACTACTATGGAGGAGAGTCTTCGTCTCTTAATCTCATTCAGGTTGCATTTCTATTTGAAATTTTGTTTTAGAAATTCCATTGAAGGAATTTTATTTTTCTACTATTTAATTTATTGTTTTCTTTATGCTGTTTGTTCACAGCTCTGGAAGAGGTTTAGGGGAAGTGATAAGCCTCCTGCTCATTTGGGTGCTAGTAGGGATTACAATGTGGACATGATCCCCAAGGTGCATTTCCTTCTTAACTCTTTCTCACCTTCCGTGATTCTTTTCAATTTCCTCCATTATACTGACTAGTTTTTTTTTTCCTTTGGTTAGTTTATGATGGCAAATGGAACTCTTGTACGTGTTCTTATTCATACAGATGTTACAAAGTATCTGTCCTTCAAAGCTGTTGATGGCAGCTACGTCTATAATAAAGGGAAGGTATTGTCGTTGCACTTGTGAAGAAGTTGGCTTGGCCTTGTTTTTATAATTTTTATCCTCACTAAATGATCTTTATAACTCATTGTAATAGGTACATAAGGTGCCAGCAACTGACATGGAGGCACTCAGATCTCCACTAATGGGTATATTTGAGAAACGCCGTGCAGGGAAGTTCTTCATTTATGTTCAAAATTATGATGAAAGTAATCCTAAAACACATGAGGGGGTGGACTTGACTAGGGTGACAACTGGACAGCTGATTGCGTAAGTTCTGTGTTTTTTTTTTTTCTTTTAATGCAGTCACTTTCTTTCTCTCTTTCTATATAACAGCTTATTACCATGCTTAAATTGCATGAAATGGCCCAATAGTGTCTGCTAGCTTTTCCCTTTGTTTCTACTGTATATTTGAACTATATTTTCCTGTTGCCATTTAGATGTAGTAAAAGTTTGTTTTATCCTGCACAGCCTTTTCTAATGAGATAAAACTGATGTGCTAGCAAATAAAAAATATCTATTGGATTTAAGTCAATAATTGTCTGCAGAATTTTAAGTTGGAGGTTAACAAATCACTTCCATGTTTCTTGAAGTTAATCTCTGGTTCCTACCCTGCTTTTATGCCCCTGCTTCTGCATCTCTTCAGTAAAATAAAATTGCAGATATCTGATAGGTTCTGCAATCTTGGATAATATATGTTAAGAGAAGGAACTTGATTAGACCCTTTGCTGTGTTGCTAATCATATGGTTGACTTTTGATAGGAAATATGGTCTTGATGATAATACCATAGACTTCATTGGTCATGCAGTGGCACTTCATAGAGATGATCATTACCTAGATGAACCTGCACTGGACACTGTAAAGAGGATGAAGGTGAGTAGTGCTGTAGTGCTTTAGTTTTGTGGTTTACTTTGCCTTCGAGTTTCAACATTTTGGAACCAAAAGTTTCTCCTTTGTAGCTTTATGCAGAATCTGTTGCACGTTTTCAAGGGGGTTCACCATATATTTATCCTCTTTATGGATTAGGAGAGCTGCCCCAGGTTTCTTTTGCCCCCTCCCTCTTTCAAACTCTTTTCTCTCTATTCTGAATCTTCTACATAAAAATGGTTCTTACTTAACTCTTGCAATTTCTTCTTCCAAATGCCTTAGGCTTTTGCACGACTTAGTGCTGTTTATGGTGGGACATATATGTTGAATAAACCTGAGTGCAAGGTACTTTAAAAGTCCTTTTTATCAGATTTGTCTCTTCTTTTTTGTTATTGTATTTGTCATAGTTTTGGTGCTATTTTCTCTGTTGGAATAGAAGCACCTAATATTTGCAATTTTTCTTCTGTCAATCTGCCAGGTAGAATTTGATGGTGAAGGCAAAGTTACTGGTGTCACATCAGAAGGTGAAACTGCTAAGTGCAAAAAGGTTGTCTGTGACCCTTCCTACTTGCCTGGAAAGGTAATTAATACTTATTACACTCTTCTATTAGTTGTCTATACTCCAGCACTCATAATGATGATGAAAGCTTGTGTTTTCTTCATATGTGAGGTAAGTTTATTCACTTTAAATTGCAGGCCAACTAGTTATAACCATAAGGCCATTTTCCACTTAGGCTTATCTTTTAAATGAAAATGATTCTTTTGAGAAGTGGAATTATATTTTTGGAACCCCAAGTCTTATTTTCTGCATATTTTGCTATTTATGGTTTGATTGTGGCTGTTCAAACAGGCTAGGAAGATTGGTAGGGTTGCTAGGGCAATTGCTATCATGAGCCACCCAATCCCAAATACCAATGATTCTCATTCAGTGCAAGTTATCCTGCCGCAGAAGCAGTTGGGTCGCAAATCAGACATGTAAGTTTTTGTTAGAATGTGTTGTCTTTTCGACGAGCATGCTGAGAATTACCGCTACTGCTTGTATTGCAACTTTTACCCCTTTCATCCCCAACTCTTGAACCAAACCCTTTAAAATGATGAAAGTTACTGTCCTTTGTGAGAAGAGTCCACTAGAGAGGTTATTCAGGATATCTTTGAAGACAAATGTTGTTCTCGCTTATTGTTTGTCTGGTTCATTGCTTCTTCTTTTTGCTTCTACTCTGGTCTAAGTCTTACAATCCTGGAATGTTTGAGCAGGTATGTTTTCTGTTGTTCATATTCTCACAATGTTGCTCCGAAGGGCAAATTCATTGCCTTTGTATCAGCGGAGGCAGAGACAGATCATCCTGAGACTGAACTGAAGCCTGGAATTAACCTTCTAGGTCCTGTTGATGATATATTCTTTGATATCTATGACAGATACGAACCAGTCAATGAACCTTCTCTGGACAACTGCTTCATATCAACAGTGAGTACACTGATGCTTACTCTTTGTTAGCGTAGTGCTCATAATATGGGATGCAACCTAACTAGATGTTATGTTTAACAGAGTTATGATGCCACAACACACTTTGAGTCAACTGTCATGGATGTGCTCAATATGTATACCCTGATAACTGGAAAGGTAAGGTTTTGTATGGATGTGCTCAGGCACAGGCACAGACACAGACACAGACACACAAATGTATTAACAATAATAAGATGCATACTAGAATCTCAGCTAGGATGATTTTGATAAAATGTATTAACAATAAGAGAAAACAGAAAAATTATGGAAAGAAGTGAACATTGGCTGATACGTAGAGTTCTAAAAGGCTATTGGGGACTACTAAGAGTTCTTGAAGCTCCTTCTACAACACTTTGATTAACTCTTTATACTGATAGCTTAACATTTCACTTGTTTATGAGCAGGTTCTTGACCTCAGCGTGGATTTGAGCGGTGCCAGTGCGGCTGAAGAATGAGGAATGGCACAAAATTGCACGGCTGTTTGTGCTTTGCCCCAAGTTTCTTAGAATGTTTGATGTTGCCACAGGCAGGGTCAGACTTTGTTTTGGTTTTTGCTGTGTTACAGATGCCACCATAGCCATTTGTAAACATTAGTTATCTTAATTAATGTTTCGAGAAGTTGAATTGAGAAGCGTCAACAACTGAGCCTCTCATTAAATTGAATTTTAGAGAAGTAAAAATTAGAACATCTTAATACCAACGACCAGCAGCAAGGGGAAGGAACTTGATTTTTTTAAAATAAAGTCTCAAGTTTGAGTTTTGTGAATGGAGAAACAGGTGTTATGAGTGTTTTTCTTTTAATGAGCTACGACGCGGTTTGATTTTAGATTAGTTGGAATTTAATATGATTATTGGATATCGAGAGTTTAATATCAAATAAAAATTAGAACATCTTAATATTTTTAATACAAGAAGTATAATTTCAACTACATGATCCATGTCTTTTAAGTGAAAACTACATTATGTCTAACACATCTTGGGGTTATAATGGAATGCTTTGACATTAAAAAATGTCAACATATATTGAGTTTTTACATCCTCTTGAGAAAAATGGTGGTAAACTAGCGTTACTACTCTGGCTCAAAAAGGCATTTTTCCCAGTAATTTTGAGGATAAAAAATGTTATCCCAAAAGTTAATATTATTAAAAAAAAATTGTATATTTTAAATTATATCAAATTACATATTATTTATTATTAGATAGAGATAGCCTCTTTAATATTAAAATTTGTCTTTCATCTAACTACCTGATTTTGTTTTGCAGTCCGAGCTTTAATATTGCAAGCAAGAAATAAAGGTGATTTTTCTCAAAAGAAATTTAAATAAATCCAAAATAAAAATCCCTTTTGGTTCCCCTGTTTCGTTCGGAAAAAGAAACGAAAACAATCCAAATATATATTATATATATGGGTTTTTCAAAGGACACATGATAAAAGTATATGTATTATAACATTTTATTATTAATTATATATTATAACATTTTATTATTAATCATGTATTAATTTACATAAAAAAATGCACCTGGCATTCGATCAATTAATATCCTGCCAGTTTGAGGTGCATTCCCTCTTCTTCTTGATCGGATTTTGAGTCTGCTCATTAACAAATTGTTCAAAAAACAAAGTTACATTAAAAAATTAATATTAATTTTAACATTTATGACATATGAATATTTTTTTTAGACATTTGATAAAATTAATGTCAACTTTTAGTTTTTACTATGTGTATTAATGATTTTAATGACTTAATAATCCGAATGAAAGAAATTCAATATCCTTTAAACAAAATCTTTAGTTTGTTATGAGGTTTGATACTGTTGGACTTTGAACGATACTCAATATAGTTAACTGAATACTAAAGTTAATAAAAAAAAAAGTATTAATATTAAAAAAAATAATAAATGCACTCTTGCATTGTGCGAAAAGGCACAACAGAAACTTATGTAGTGTTTTGGACCGAACCAAAATATTGAGACGATTGTGTAAAGCCCAATGGGCTGTCAAGCATCTTTAAACCTAGTTCAAAGTGCAAAGCTAGGCTGCTTTTTTACGGACTGCAATAATCAACTGTCCTGAAGAGGCCGTCGCAGGCAAGAGGCAACTCTGCTCTCTTCTGCGTTCCCCCTTCCTCCTGTGCTATTCTGATCGGTAAGCAATAACAATAAATCGGCAATTTTGAGATCCCTGTTGCCGGAGCTGGAAGAGTTTAGTTGTATACAAAACACTCTTTCTGGAAAGTGGAAACCTTTAATTTGCCTTTTGGATTTCTCGCACCTCTGTTAAGCTTCGGATTGCCAGACCCAGGATTTTTTTTTTAAAAAAAAGCTGATGAATTCAGTGTCTGTTTTTTAGTCGTTCCCTTTTGATTTGTTGATTGACTGCTGACAATGTTTGTAAACTGTTTGGATTGATGCAAAGCAGTGAAGAATGAAGCTGGACGTTGATGTTCTGAGATATCTATCCCGGGAGGACTTCAGGGTTCTCACTGCTGTTGAAATGGGCATGCGGAATGTATGTTTCCTTTTCTTAGCAATTTACTTTGTGTCCAATAAAGTACTATTCTTTTACCCTTTTATTACTTTTACTTAGTTGTTGAAGATGAGAGTATTTTTTTTTTTTTTTTCGGTTGTTGGTTCCTGCATTTTGTGTACAGCATGAGATTGTGCCTTCTGTGCTCATTGATCGCATTGCTTCTCTCAAGTATGTTCTTTTCCTTTTCTTTTTAACTTTTCCCATGATTCCACCTACCTCATTTAGCAACTGCATTGTCGTCGTCATCTCAATTAATCTAAAGTTGTTTTCTTTGTATGTATGTAGGCATGGTGGCACATACAAGGTCTTGAAGAACTTACTCAAGCATAAGCTGCTGCACCATGATGCTTCCAAATGTACATCCTGTCTTCTTTTTGTCTTTCCAACTTTAAGTATCTACCTTTTTATCTGCTAAGTAACAAGCTTTTCATGCTTATGTTTAGATGATGGATTTCGTCTCACCTACCTTGGTTATGATTTCCTTGCAATTAAGACTATGGTCAACCGTGGAGTCTTCACTGCTGTTGGTCGCCAAATTGGTGTTGGCAAAGAGTCTGGTAACTTTTTAGGTTCAATTATGGACTGCTTGTTACTATGTTTTTATTTATTTTACTTTATACTTATTTTATGTCGTTTGAGTTTATTCAAGATATCTTTGAGGTTTCACGTGAGGATGGTACTATCATGGCAATGAAGTTGCATAGACTTGGTAGAACTTCCTTTAGGGCTGTCAAATCTAAGCGTGATTATTTGAGGCATCGTAATAACTATAACTGGCTCTATTTGTCCCGCCTTGCTGCTCTCAAAGAATATGCTTTTATGAAGGTACTATCAGTTCTCCGTTTTTGTTTTCTCTTTTATATTCTTTTTTACTTCTCCAGAAACTTGTATTGATTAATTATGAAATCAAATGGTGTTGGCCTTATACTTAAACTTTACTTGTTCAGGCTTTGGAAGAACATGGATTTCCTGTGCCAAATGCTGTGGACTGTAATAGGCATTGTGTGGTTATGTCACTTGTCCAAGGTTATCCACTGTGAGAGTTTCTTCTAAGTCCACTCTTATCTGGTTGCCACCTAAAGTATTTTGTCCCTTCATGTGACTGGAGTGAGTTGGCTTTTTGCTTAATCCATTAAAAAGAATGAACAGTATCATTGGTAAAGAGGAAGTGGAAATGGAACTTAAACTAATGTTGCCCAAAATTCACATCTGCAATTTTTTGAAATAAGTGAAAGGAATATTATGAAAGAAATATGTACAGAGATTACCAGAAGTGAGTCTAGTGACATTGTTTTTCAGATGATTGAGTTTTGAAATATCAATGACTGTTGTAGTTTAAAATGCTCTTCTTTTCATTGAATGGCAAGAGAAGTAGAAAACAATTAAAATACTTGATACCTCAAAGATTTTCTTCATCTCACACTGATTAGTACTTTTTTCCTCCTTCCATATCCTATTCTATATACTTTGTCGCTTGGAGAGGTAGTTCAGATTATAAAAATTCCTTCCCAATCAGTGTGCAGGTGAAGGAGTTGCAAAACCCTGAGGTGGTTTTTGAAACAATCCTTGGCCTTATTGTTCGTTTGGCAGAACATGGTCTGATTCATTGTGACTTCAATGAGTTTAACATTATGGTAAGCATTTCATATCTCTTTTGAGCTCTTTCTTGTTTGCTTGCACCTCTGCTCTCATTGAGTTCAGTGTATGATAGTTTTTCTTGGTATTTAATCCAAATAGGTTTTGTCAGCTTCTTCTTCAAGCCTTTCATTTGTTGACTGGTTTTAATTCCTCTTCTTCGTAGATTGACGATGATGAAAAGGTCACCATGATCGATTTTCCACAAATGGTATCTGTATCACATCGTAATGCAGAGATGTATGTAAGACTGCTGGTTTTGATGCCATGGCTAATATTGGTTCTCTAAGTGCAAGAATTTCAAATCCATGACTTGTTTGAATCTGACATCCACTTCTCAATTCTTTATAACTTCTCCTAGGTATTTTGACCGTGATGTTGAATGCATCTACAAGTTTTTTGGAAAGAGGTTAGTGATTCTTTTTCCTATTTCAAGATTTCAGTCAGTATGTTGAAATATGAGATACCATAAATTCCTAGCAGTTCTTCTACTTTCTATGGAGTCTTAAATATAAGTCAATTGCTTTATAATTACATGGGTCCTGATGGTTAATTGCTGATCATAAGAATGCTTTTACTAGTACTTGATTTGAACTGCGCATGTTTTTTTCATCTGGCTTCTCCATTCAACTTCAGTAAATGCCTTCCTTTCATCTTCTACTTCTTTATACTAGGTTCAAGATGACCTTCGAAGAGCATGATGATAATGTTGATGTTTCGGAGGTAGACACAGATGAAAGTAGTAGGCCATCCTTTTCTTCAGTAAACAAAACTGCTGGATTTCTCGACAAAGAACTTGCTGCCAGTGGATTTACCAGAAAGGAGCAGGATGAGATAGAAAGGGTACGTGACTCAAACCTGGTTGAGTTTCCTTGTTTCAAATGCATTATTTTGCTTATTGTTTCCTGTCAAACTAGAATAAAGACATGAGGGTAAAGTATGAGCAGCATGTTCCATCATTATATATGTGCTTGTTTCATAGAGTGATGGTATTATGGACTTGATGAGATGTATTTCTTTTGGTAGTTTATCTATCTGGTTGTCATGGATGTGGATGATATGCATGTAGAATGTAGTAGTTGTCTGTTTTTTGCCTGTGTGGCAGGCATGTTATGTTTTTGCAACATCTATGCTGGCTTGTCTTTTTATTGTTAACTTTATGAGATATACCATAAACAATGCTTATGTTATATTAAATGATCACAGCAAATGCTACTTATTTTATGCAGTTTATTGAAGGTGACATTGAGGATGATGCTGGTGGTGAAGGTGAAGGAACTGAAGATAATGGACATGAATCAGAATTAAATCAAACAACCATAAAGGATTTGGATTCTTTGAAGTTAGAGCAGGTATATCATTCTTGATCTGTACTGTTGAGTGATGCCATTTTTTCTTAAAGCAATAATCATTAAGGTCATATTACCTTATGTTGTAAACCCAAGGTTCTGATTAGGATTTTTGGGTGATTGGCATGATTCAAGCTTACATTCAGTTTAAGATGATGCTAACTGATTTAAAGGGGAATATTTTTAACTGCAAAGTAATACCTATTAAAATTGAAAATGCCCTCATTTGATGTTAGGAGTTCATGCTTTTAGCAAAAGCAAACAGTTGCTCTCTTCTTCCTTTTTTATCTTTTTCTGGCCATTGTTGTTTTCTTCTTTCTGTAGCTTAAATTTGTTGAGAAAGAATGGAATTGGAATATTTACAGGGAGGGATTGATTTAAAGAATGAGAAAAGTGAAAGGAGAACTTAGGCTTCGTTTGACAATTCTTCACACAGACGTTTTTTATACAGCACCTCATCAAAAAATGTAAAATTGTTATTCTTAATTCATTTTAATTAATACTTTATATATTTATGGGATAGTAAAAGACAAAAAAAACCTAGAGCCACAGCATGACACAGGCAAACGAAGCCTTATTAGATTTGTCTTCCTTAATTGGGGGGACTTTTCTGTACCCTTTAATTTTTGCTCCATCTTCTTCAACCAAAAGACTCTGTTGGGAGTATGTGGTTTGCTTCATAATCATATGAATCTTTCTTATATTTTATCATGTATGTTCTTTCTATAATTCAGGAAAAGACAACATCTAGTCATAATGAGGAAGACAGGATTGAGGAAAGCCAGCAGACATCTAACGTGAGCCAGAGCAGAGAAAGTGAAAATGCAAGTGATAGGGTGCCATGTTATTCTCTTACATACTTTCTCTTGGTTGGAGTAATTGTGTTTTCTCTTATAACTTGCATGCTGGCTTGTATAAACTCATTATTTTTTTTTTCCCTTCACAGGAGGAAGAAAGTGAGGATGTAAATGATGCTCAACTTGTTAAGAGTTTAACCAAACAGAGACGGCGTGCAATAGCAGCCGCAAGTAGGGGACGGAAGAATTATGCATCCAGAAATTCTTACAAAGACAAGGGGGGTAAATCCTCTCATAACTCTAAAATCCAGAAACAATTGAACAGCTGGTGAATTTTGTATGGATTCCCACAACCTAAAACATCGAGGCTATCAGTTAAATGGCCTGTGGCTGAAACATTTGTGCAAAGGTTGCACCCAAGTTGCAAACAGGTCAAATCAACACACCGCAGAAACTGAGAATGGGAAGCTGGAGTTTTTGTTTTGTTTCTGGTCTGTGTTCTTGGTTTCTTCTGGTGATGCTGTTCAGTAGTTTGTGAGTTAAGAGTAGCTAATCCTGATTTCCATAATGATTATTGTACTAAACCGAATAATATATGCCAAGGAGCATAGATTTTTAAACATTCCAAAGACAGGAAAATGTATCCGAACTCTTAAATCTTGCTTACATCTTGCACTTCTCTATGGCTCAACAACATTCTCTCTTCTGCTTGAACACAGAAGATTCTTTAGTACAACACCGCTATTTGACGTATTAGCTACCGCTCATTTGCGGCTGGCGGAGACTGATTCAGGCCTGATCTACCCCTTGCCCTCTTCTGCTGCAGTTTCCAGGTCATCAACCCTTGCTAACTGTGTTGTTGAAGCAGAAACAGAATACCCTTTATGAGCGACCGGCTGGATCCAGTAGAAGCCTTCTGCATAACCGTAGCATGAGTCCTCGCCGTCTTGGCCCAATCTAGGAGTACCTCTTTAACGTGTTCCTTAAATATTGAACCCTGGAATGAACCTCCCATCTTCATTTCAAAATTGAAAATAATAAGTTAACAACTTCATCATTTTTCGTATAAAGGAAGAAATCAGGTCCTGCTATGAGCAAACCTGCGTGACAATTGCATAGAGCGGTAGAGTACTGTAACTGCAGACGAACTGAACGAATGCCCTGAAAAAAAAGAAGCATCAAAACGAAGCAATCAGAAAACCGTCTGCATCAACATGAATGCCAGCATAAGATAAAGGATTTTATAATGGGGATTACCCTATCACGAGTCGAGGGATAATAAATCCCAGTTGTCCCATAATGCAGGAATCAAAACCATATTGCACCTATACCAGCATCATGTGTCAGATACCATCAATACGAAAAGTTCTTGTTCTTTATATCAAAGACGATAGATTTTTACCCAAATCCAGAAGAAAAATGCCAATTCAAACGAGTTCTGGAACAGGAGGATGTGTATGAGGAGGAGAACAATTTGGGGTCTGTGGAACCAGAAGTGATCATCTTTAGGGTGAACCACCAGCTCCCCTTCAACGGCCACATGTTTTTCAGCCACCTCATTGGCCAATTGTGTTATTACATGCTCCAGTTTGGTGCCAACAGCAAGCAAAATCTGTTAAAATAGGTGGGAAGAAATCATTCCCAAAAGATAAATAAAGTTTTAAGTACAAAAGTGTAGAGATGTTTGAATTGCTTACAGCAAAGGGAACGAATGCTATCCAGAAATACGCATACCATCCTGTACAAAGAAATTGGAACTTTGGTTTTAGGTACAGGAATTTTTTCCCATGACATTGTGAAATATAGAATTGTCAATTTTTCATTGATTCAGGTTATCTATCCCTGTGATATAGTAGAATTACTCCATATTCCTGAGAGGAATAGTGGAAAGTAGCTGACCATCGACATTGAGCAACAAGAAGATAACCACAAAAATCCAAAGGTACCAACTGCATTTGATGAATATAAAAATTAGAGAAATCCATGAGAAGAACCAATGCAAAACATGGGGAAACAAAGGCAAAAACTTTTCATAGGCCCTTAAACTTATTTCATTTTAGCATACAACACCCTAAACTAAAAAAAAAGTAGCCCTTTGAACCACGCAAATTGTAGCAAATTAACCCTTTGTTAATGGATCAACTGATGTGATAATTAAAAGCAACGCTTGATGTTAATACATTAATATGGCAATTAAATTGAAATTATTCATTTTTTAATTTTTAGATAAATAAGCATTAATGATAGTCATTCTTTTGTCAGCCACATGAGCTAAAATTAATAAAAGCTATCAATAAATATTATGTCCAAGGAGGTGGTTTAACAATTAAAATCTTAAAATTCTAAATTAGGGATTTTAAATTTAAATTTTGAGTTAAGTGAAATGGGATTTTGGAAAAGAGAATGATATCTCTTTTTATATAATCTATTTAAGAGAATGTTATCTCTTTTTATATAATCCATTATTATATATACAAAAAACAAATCAATTGTCATTAAAAAAATGCCTAATTTGCTTTAATTGCATGGTTTAACGGCTTATTTGCTTGTTTTTAACTTAGTTGCATATATGCTAAAAAGGGACAAGTTTGAGAACTTTAAGGAATGGTTTTACCGGAAACAAAACATCTTAATTGAGATTAGAACATTCTTCTAACCTTATTCCAACAACTTTCTTGAAATCATCCTCGTAAGCACGCATCATGTACTCTTGAAAATTGAATTTTGGATTCCCAGGGCAATGAGTCTGTACCGAAGCAAAGCGTAGCATAAGAAAACATGAAAACAAAAAGGGTAACCATTTGCGGTGTAGTTATGTAGCAACGAAGCTTGACCAAGATCTTAGAAAGGCCGATAGAAGGGTTTTTTTTTTTTTTTAACCATAAATTATAAAAATAATGCTGAAAATTTGTCTTAAATGGATTGTTTTTTTAATTTCAAGATAAATTAAATTTTTT